AAGCTGAGTTCAAGTGGGAATAGGCAGAGATAGCTGAAAGCCAAATGTTTCAAATGTAATAAATACCAAGGATGTGGCATCCCCTTACCCTTTAAACCTACAAATTAACCCAGCACTTCACATAAGGTGAGATCAGCGTATCAGATGATTTCCAAGTTAAACGCTATCAGATTCTTATTCTTTATATCTCTGTAAATATTTTAACTTAATTTTTTCTTAGCTGAAATGGCATTATTTTACCAGCACAAATACAAAGAATAGCAGCATGTTTTCTCCCTATAATCATGAAGGTTCTCAGCGACAAGGAGTTACACCAAATCTCTGAATGATGTTTAAGTGTGCGCTTGATCCAGCATAAAGCAGGATGAGTGGCAGTGAACAGACACTAACGTGTATGGTGCTTTACAGTTTACAAAATCATTCACACATATACCCAGCTCAGCTCCTACCTCAGTCTAACTAATCACTCCCATGGGACTGGGTACAAAGCACCACCTCTGTGAAATGGGAAAAATGAAAATAACACCACTTTTAGGAATTACACTGGCCAGTTAATTATACACATAATAGAAATGCAGCCCTACAAAAATGCTGGGCATTATTAACACCGTGTCCCTCTGAAAATCAAATCCTGGGATGACCCAGTCTGCATGAATGACTGGACTGTAAAGCGAGCACTGGGATAAGGAATAAACGGAGGCCCCTGACTGGTGTGAGAGACAAACTACCATAAAACGTGGGGGGCAGTGTATTACAGTGCACCATGGGAAGCTGAAAAAGTACCTAATTCTGAGAGTAAGACCAAAGGTCAAGAAAAGTTTAGCTGAGGAAAGGAAATTTGAACCAAGCCTTGAAAGAGGAGCAGAATTGGGCTTCCTTGGTGGCGCAGTGGTTGAGAATCCGCCTGCCAATGCAGGGGACACGGGTTTGAGCCCTGGTCCAGGAAGATCCCACATGCTGCGGAGCAACTAAGCTCGTGTGCCACAAATACTGAGCCTGCGCTCTAGAGCCCGCGAGCCACAACTACTGAGCTCGCATGCCACAACTACTGAACCCGCACGCCTAGAGCCCGTGCTCCCAACAAGAGAAGCCCGCGCACTGCAACAAAGAGTAGCCCCTGCTCACTGCAACTAGAGAAAGCCCGCGCACAGCAACGAAGACCCAATGCAGCCAAAAATAAATAAATAAATTTATTAAAAAAAAACAAAAAGAGGAGCAGAATTTTTGCCAACCCAGAGTCAGTAGGATTCCAGGCCAGAGGAAGGCCTTATAGGCAGGCTGGGAGATGTAGAAGCCCTGTGTGCCTACAGAATCACGTGGCTGGAGGAAGGGCTCTGCCCGCCATACTAAAGCATTTAACAGCTTTAAAAAAATCACATTCTGGACTTCACTGGTGGCGCAGTGGTTGAGAGTCCGCCTGCCGATGCACGGGACATGGGTTCGTGCTCCAGCCTGGGAAGATCCCACATGCCACGGAGCGGCTGGGCCCGTGAGCCATGGCCGCTGGGCCTGTGCGCCCGGAGCCTGTGCTCCACAACGGGAGAGGCCACAACAGTGAGAGGCCCACGTACCGAAAAAAAAAAAAAGAATCCACCTGATAATGCAGGCGACACGGGTTCGAGCCCTGGTCCAGGAAGATCCCACATGCCGCAGAGCAGCTAAGCCCATGCACCACAACTACTGAGCCTGCGCTCTAGAGCCCGTGAGCCACAACTACTGAGCCTGCGTGCCACAACTGCTGAAGCCCGCGCGCCTAGAGCCCATGCTCAGCAACAAGAGAAGCCACCACAATGAGCAGCCCGCGCTCGCCACTAGAGAAAGCCTGCGCGCAGCAACGAAGACCCAATGCAACCAAAAATAAATAAATTTATTTTAAAAAATCACATTCTATACAATCCAGTGTATCTCAATGGTTAACAAAGAAGTAAACACGCACAGCACAGACTTACCTAAATTCTTTAAATTCTGCAAAGAAACTCTGTCCTCTTCCTCGTCACTATTGAGAAAATCAGCTACAGAGTCGTCATCATCATCTGAGGAATATAACACAATCAACTGCTTATGACTGAAAAGGAAACCTAGGTGCCAGGTTTTAGTAACTCCTCCAATAGATAAAAAATATATGTGCACACACGCGACAGGAACAGAGCTATGCAAGTGGGTACAGAGAAAAGTAACCTCTTCTCTGGTTACTCTGGTTTCCAACACTCCTTTTAGGAAAGCAAAGAACTGGTGACTAACAAATGCAGCCTAGTGTTCAGACGCTTACTCTGTGTTTCCCTGTGGTCTGTGGGCTTCAGGGTTTTATTTTCCAGTTCTTGCCACCCCATCTCCCCTCACCATGGGGGCTCCAGCCCTGTCATGGCCAAAAAATTATATGCTCTGTAAAAACCCACTGACATGATTCCCCTGTGTTTTCAGCATGGGCAGAAATTTCTGAACCCAACAACAGTTTCTCAAAGGGCAGAAATGGGCCATCCCCTGGCTGTGAATGTTCAATGGCTCTTTGGTGGCGCTGGGAGGGGCTGCTTCCAGAGCCTGGCATGGTACATCGCCTGCAGGAGGCATTAAAGAAAGGCTAGATGGATGGAGAGGATGACAGCCCACTCCCGCTGTGAGCTGTGAGGGCCCCAGCAGCAGCGAGACCAAAGGCAGCACCCTGCCTAGGCCCAGCTCAGGTGAACCTACAGCCCCAGCCAGGCCCAGGGAGGGGGACCTGAAGCCGTGACTGGAGGAGGCTCCCGCCAGCAGTGTCCACCACTCACCCCCTAACCATGGCGATGGCCTTTCTCCCCCTCTGCCTCCTGCCCCCATCTCTCTTCTCTGAACCATCAGGCTGCTCTGTAACATCACCCGTGGTGACGTGTGCCCCCAGCCCCAGTGTTCAAGGCTGAGGAAGCTGCTGCTCCCTAATGAACTTGACTCCTGGCCCCAGCCCAGTCTCCTCTCCTCTCTCTCCTTTCAACATATTCTATTTGAAACCCTTCTCTAGGTTTGTTTGGAGTCAACCAACCCACCTGTGTTTTCCACAGGTTTTTTAGTTTTTGCAGTAAGATGCGATCCTATTTCTTTCTCGACAGGATGAGTTTCAGGGTTGCACTGCTCTGAAAAAGACACAAATCTCAGGTGCACATCGCCTCCACTTGAGTGACAAGGCTGCACACGCCACCACGAAGCCAGCCTCTAGGGGGAAGCATATGTGTGGGGTAAGGGATGTAGGTGGGGGTGGGGATGAAGGAGAGGAAGTGAGAGATCCAGTGAAGGGCCAGTAAAAGCCTCAGCCCCGCAGAAGGGCTGAGGAAGCAGGCCTCGTGCACCCCCTAGGGCCTGTCTCCAACCGCCCTGCCTGGCCGAATCACACAGGGCTTTCACCACGATTCAGTAGCACACTGACTTCAATCAGCATCAAACTGTGTTCTCAGCAGTTTCCGATCCCAAATTTGCATGTACCACATGCCACTGAGGACACACAGATGAAAGCCATCAGGCCCTCGTTTGCATGTACCACATGCCACTGGGGACACACAGATGAAAGCCATCAGGCCCTCAGAGGGGTTTACTCGCACAGATGACAGAGATATGGACGAGATAAGGAGAGTCCGATCCAGAGTCACCTGAGAGGGCGGGGAGATGAGAGGGGAAGGTGCTGCCAGGTGGAAAGAGCATGTGGGGCAGAGGGAAAGGTCCATGGCTGGTCCGGACCCTTGAAAGAGTAGGCAGATGCAAGGAGATGGTGATGAGCAACTGGCAGCTGATGGGTGGGGGAGGCCTGGCATGTGGCCGGGGCACAAGAGGAGGAAGCCGAGCAAAAGAATGCCACACACAGGTCTGTCTGTCTTCCCCAGACCAGTGTCTCTCAGAGAGGGCGCTACTGTATTCAGGTTGGAAAGATCTTTAATGGTGTGGGATAACTTCACACACCCCAGGAGGTTTTTGTGAGTCAACACCAATAACTAGAAGTACCACCATCGCCTCCGCTACTGTGAGAACAAAAACACTGTGACCACGTGTCTCTAGAGAGAGCAATACCCAGGTTAAGAACCACCGCCAGAAGACCTAAATAGACAGTCCTCCAAAGAAGACATACAGGTGGCCAACAGGCACATGAGAAGATGCTCAACATTGACAACTGTCATTAGAGAAATGCAAACCAAAACCACAACAAAGTATCACCTCTCACTGGTCAGAATGGCCATCATCAAAAAGTCTAAAAACAACATGCTGCAGAGGATGTGGAGAAAAGGGAATCCTTCCACACTGTTGGTAGGAGTGTAAGTTGGTGCAGTCACTATGGAAAACACTACAGAGGTTCCTCAGAAAACTAAAAATAGAATTACCATAGGATCCAGCAATCCCACTCCTGGGCATATATCCAGACAAAACTGTAATTCAGAAAGATACACACACCCCTATGTTCACAGCAGCACTATTCACAACAGCCAAGACATGGAAACAACCTAAATGTCCATCGACAGATGAACGGATAAAGATGTGGTATATATATATATACAATGGAATACTACTCAGCTATTAAAAAGAATGAAATTATGCCATTTGTAGCAACACAGATACAACTAGAGATTATCATACTAGGTGAAGTAAGTCAGAAAGACAAATACCATATGATACCACTTATATGTGGAATCTAAAATATGGCACAAATGAACCTATCTGCAAAACAGAAACGGACTCACAGACATAGGGAATACCTGTAGTTACCAAGGAGGATGGGGTTGGGGGAGGGATGGAGTGGGAGACTGGGGTTAGCAGATGTAAGCTATTATATACAGAATGGATAAACAACAATAGCACAGGGAACTATATCCAATATCCTGTAATAAACCATAATAGAAAAGAATATAAAGAAAAAAGAATTTTATATATACATATATATATGTGTATAACTGAATCACTTTGCTGTACAGAAGTTAACACATTGTAAATCAACTATACTTCAATAAAAAAAAACATAAAGACCACCAGACATTATGCATCTTCTATAGTCATGCCTAAGACCACCTGGAGTTTTGCCAGAGAGACTGACCCTGAGCTCTGATCCAGTCTCTGATCTGTCAAATTGTAAGAAACAGAGGATTGAGGAGTATGACTAACTGCACCATGAGCTTGCAGTCAGCAAAACCCAGACTGTGGGTAACTGTACAAGTCAAGTGGCTTGAATTCTTCAACAGAGAAATTGTAAAGAAAACCAAAAAAACAAAAAAAAAGATGGAGAAAGAATTTACAGATTAAAAGAGACTTAAAAGAAATATCAGGGGCTTCCCTGGTGGCGTAGTGGTTAAGAATCTGTCTGCCAATGTACAGGACATGGGTTTGAGCCCTGGTCCAGGAGGATCCCACATGCCACAGAACAACTAAGCCCGTGTTCCACAACTACTAAGGCTGCGCTCTAGAGCCAGCATGCCACAACTACTGAGCCTGCGTGCTGCAACTACTGAAGCCTGGGCGCCTAGAGCCCGTGCTCCGCAACAAGAGAAGCCACTGCAATGAGAAGCCCACACACCGCAACTAAGAGTAGCCCACGTTCTCCACAGCTAGAGAGAACCCACGCGCAGCAATGAAGACCCAATGCAGCCAAAAATAAATAAATAAAATAAATTTTTTTTAAAAAGAAATATTACATTTTTTGGGAATTCCCTGGTGGTCCAGTGGTTCGGACTCGGCACTTTCACTGCTAGGCCAGGGTTCAATCCCAATGCCTGGTCAGGGAACTGAGATCCTGCAAGCTGAGCAGCATGGCCCAAAAACAACAACAAAAAAAAGAAAGAAAGAAAGAAATATCACCTTTTTTTAATGGGCAAGACTAAATAATACACTTTCAGGACACGTATTTACATAATAAAACTATAAAAGCAAAGAAGTGATTACTATAAAAGTCAGGACAGTGGTTACTTTTTTTTTTTTTTAAAAGATTTTATTTTTTTGATGTGAACCATTTTTTAAAGTCTTTATTGAATATGTTACAATATTGCTTCTGTTTTATGTTTTGATTTTTTGGCCCCGAGGCATGTGGGATCTTAGCTCCCTGACCAGGGATTGAACCTGCACCCCCTGCATTGGAAGGCGAAGTCTTAACTACTGGACCGCCAGGGAAGTCCCAGGAGAGTGGTTATTTATAGGAAGCGAGGGCACTGGATCGGGACAGGTCATGTGGAGGGGTTTCCAGAGTGGATGGCAAAGTTCTATTTTCTTCATCTGGGTGGTGTTTGCCTTGTAATAAATAATTCAGTAAGCCAAAAAAAAAAAAAAAGTCTACAAATAATAAATGCTGGAGATGGTGTGGAGAAAAGGGAACCCTCCTACCACTGTTGGTGGGAATGTCAACTGGCACAGCCACTATGGTGAACAGTATGAAGGTTCCTTAAAAAACTAAAAATAAAGTTGCCATATGATCCAGTAATCCCACTCCTGGACATACATCCAGAGAAAACTCTTAATTCAAAAAGATACATACACCCCAATGTTCATAGCAGCACTATTTACAATAGCCAAGACATGGAAGCAACCTAAATATCCACAGACGGATGAATGGATAAAGAATATGAGGTATATATACACAATGGAATACTACTCAGCCAATAAAAAAAGAATGAAATAATGCCATTTGCAGCAACATGGATGGACCGAGAGATTATCGTACTGAGTGAAGTAGGTCAGAGAAAGACAAATACCATGATGCCTCTTATATGTGGAATCTAAAAAAAATGATACAAGTCAATTTATTTACAAAACAGAAACACACTGACATAGAAAACAAATTTATGGTTACCAAAGGGGAAGGGGTGGGGGACGAATAAATTAGGAATTTGGGATTAACAGAAACACATATATAAAATAAACAATATAGACCTACTGTATAGCATAGGGAACTATATTCGTTATCTTGTAATAACTCATAATGGAAAAAACTGAAAAAGGAATATATATATCACTGAATCACTTTGCTGTACACCTGAAATATTGTAAATCAACTATACTTCACTTAAAAAAAAAAAAAAAACACTACTGCCAGAGAGACTGGAGTGTTCACCAAGGGAGTGAATTGCTCAAATCTGCATTTCAGAAAAACTACCCAGGCAGCTGCCAGGTCTCACAGTCAAGAGCTCCACATTGCCCTAGGGGGTCTTGGTGAGGCCTTACAGGGCTGCAGGACTAGAGGGAAGCGTTCCACACCCAGCTCCCCAACCCTGTTTCAGCAAAGCATTTCTACTTCTTTTCTATCTTAAGCTGACAGGTTTCTTTTGAAAATGCTCCAGAGACATTAGGGTTAAGGAAAAAAAGCGGGGCGGAGAGGGTGGTGCTTGAAACACACAGCTGTAAATCAGAGACTGGAGGGGATGAAACTACAGGCAAACCACCAATGAGGAACTTTAACCGAACAATCACTGAGAGAGAGGTCATGGGAAA